TATCAAAATGGTTATTTTGCAGGGTGTGAAATCATTAGTAATTTTTCCTCTATTTAAGGCTATTTTGATATGTGATATCAAAGGTTGTGGTGATGCAGAGAGGAATTTGGAAACTAGCAAGTTTGGATAGGCTGAAAAGGAAAATTAAACAAAAATATAGTTGTGTTCTTATCCAATTGCTCTGTACTTTATTGGAGCTAATTAAAAATAATATCCTAATTAGATATGTCCTGGAATAACTTATAATAATGTCATTCTAAGACATCTGTAGTATGAAATATAGTTTTCCTTGAAACTGGAAGAAGCAAATTGTTCTTTATACTTCTTCCCATCTTTCCAAGTCTCAAAATAAACTGTTTCTTTTTAATGTTTGATGCTTCTTTGCTTGACCCAAAACAGGGGGACTAAGATGCTTCTTGCTCTGTCTGAAACTTCCAGAAACTTGAAGATAGTAGATTTGAGCCCTATCCATTCATTTGAGATTAATACCACTTTGGCCATCAGAGTTAAAAAAAAAAAGTGATCTCTGGTGATCAAACTGTTGTCCACCACTATTTTACATTTGTTATTTATTTGAAAAGGCATAGAAAATAAGCAATAAGCTTGGTGCCATCTGTCCATAACAGAACACAAACTGAGCGCAAAGAGATTATCAGAAATGCCTTCCGATTGAAAATGTGTTTATCCTTTAAAGAAATCTTTAAAGTAAAATGCATTATATTTGTGGATATCCTGGTTCAGGACTGCAAATCAATTTTTAAACAAAATTGCCTATTTCCCCTGCTTTGACAGACAATCCCAAAGAGATGACCCGTGTTTCTGTGTACGTACGAATATTGGATGTGAATGACAATGCACCACAATTTGCTGTATTCTATGACACTTTTGTGTGTGAAAATGCAAGAGCAGGACAAGTAAGTCAATTATACACATGCATCAAACTTTCTAGTATTGTTTTAGGAACAGGAAAAAATAAAAGATTTCATCTAACAATAATTTGGAAATGCAACATGAAAAAGTAAAAATGGCTATCAACAAATCAGAATCCAGTTTGGTATAGATGTGCTTTCTAAGAAATGCCAACACTACCTTTTTGTACCTTCACCAAATACTTTATGTTCTTCAAACTTTTTTTCCTCTCAACTCCTTTTCATTTTGTTCTTTTCTCCCATAAATAAAATAATTTTGTATGGTATCTTTGTGGAAGAAAAGTATGCTATAAACTATTTCTTGTAATCAGTTTGTGTGTGAGAGAGTGTTTGTGCATGTGTGTATGATTTTCTTTCATTACACAGCTCAGTCTTTCATTTGATATGGATAAAAACATCACTGACAGCATTTCCTTCTGCAAATGCTATTTTTATCTCAGTCAGCTTGCTGTTGACAAATGTCACGAAAGAATAAAAAGTTGTTAGTTTCAAAAAGAGAGAGAGAGAGAGAACATATGGTTTCCTTTACCCACAGAAGGATGTAGAGTACAGAACACCAATAAAAGATAGTTTTGATATAATTGAGATAAGCAAAGCACTGAGCATTAAGGCCCAGTGAAACTCAGAATCCTGTCAGAAATTTCCTTTTGAGACAAGGGAAAACCAGTTGTTTTAAGGGTGAAAACTGTTCCTTTCCCTTAATTCCAATGTGTGAGAGAAGTTATGAGAACAAAGCAACTTGATTCTGAGTGAACAAATGACAAGAGAAAGAAGAAACAAAATAATCACCATCCTACTTTCATGTTATTTTTGTAGAAAAAAATAGGAATCAAAAGCTGGGCTCATTAAGGGAGCAGGTTTGGGATGCCCTCTCCATCCTCCAAATAAGACCATGAGTACTTACTAGTCAAGCTTTACTATAAGAATTGGGAGCCTGGATTATGGAATTGCTGTTGATATTGATAATTGTTAGGGGACTGAAGGCTAAAACATATGAAGAGCAGTTTCAGGAAATAGGCATGTCTAATGTAGTGAAAAGAAAGATTAGAGGTGACATAATAGCAGTTTTCCAATATTTGAAAGACTGCCACAAAGAAGAGGGGTCAGCTTATTTTCCAAAGCACCAAAAGGCAAAACAAAAAAAAAAATGGATGGATGGAAACTAATCAAGGAGAGAAGCAACTATAACTAAGGAGAAATGTTCTAACAGTGACCCTAACAATTAACTAGTGGAACGGCTTTCCTTCAGAAGTTGTAGGTACTCCATCACTGGAAGTTTTTAAGAAGAGACTAGACAGCCACTTTTCTGGAATGATACAGGGTCTCCTGGTTGAGGAGGAGATTAGACTAGAAGACATGCAAGGTCCCTTCCAGCTCTGTTATTTCATTATTTTTCTCTGCTTTCATAAAATTAAGAAGCACAATTGAATGTGATTGTTGCTCAGCAATTCTTGGCTCAGGAAAGTGGAGAAGAAAAGGTCAAGGGGTAGGTTTTGGCAGGTTTTTTTTTTTTAAGTAGACATTGTATCAATATAGACATTAGGAATATTTCCAGAGAATGTCTCCCTTGAATTACTTGGAACATTATAAAAGGAACACATTGTGAAACTACTGCAGTTAGTCAAAGTAAAGAAATCAGATTTTTTTTGCATATGGTACCCAGAGTTATGTTAAACAAATAATTTACCATCTTATATCGACAAATTTGTTACTTGATTGAGGAAATAAATGCAGTGGTGTGAAACTAATTTTATAGTCTTTTTCCGTGATTTTTGCCTGTTTTAACTTGGAATAAGATTGTGTTTTATTAAACAGAGAAAAACATACCTTTTGCCTTACTGAGTAATTTAAAAACCAGTACATTTAACTCCTCAGAGAAAGTTGACAGAGAATATCAAAAACTCATGGATATGTGCAGCAAATTATGGAATGAATGGAAATATAGAGAGACAGAGATTTTTTTTAAAGGGGAAAAAAGAGCAATCACTCACAGCCCAATTTCTTTGAAAGACTTGCTGCTCAAATATTGAGAGAGAAATGCAAAAGGCAGCATTTCCATTTAAATGCTAATGGTATATTACAAATTAATAGAAGAAATCATGTTTTTTTCTTTAAAAAAGATTTTTAATCTCTGAATGTTCATGGTTTTCAAAGCATTGCAAACCACCTGGATTTTGCTGTGCAAAAATAGAAAATGTAGAAATAGAAACACATTTTATACATCTTTCAGAATAAGCAAAAGGCAATAAAATATACCTCAGTGCAAGAACAGCAATAAAAACAAATCCAAGTGCAAGTACATTAGTAGGCATAAGTAACTCCCTTGCATATTGATTTCCCACCTATTGCCTGTTTTATGTACCTTTGTCTTGAACAGAGGTAATCCAGGCATGAGAAATAGCTGGGCTTTGGAATTATACCTTGTGACCCAAGGAAATAAATTATGAGTTAAAGTTTCCTACCAGAACAATTAGTCAATGCAACAGTTTGCCTTGAAGGGCAGTATGTGCTCCATCCGTAGAGTTTTTAAAGAACTGATTGGACAGCCATTGGTCTGAAATGGTGCAGAATCTCCTGCTTGAGCTGGGAATTGGATTAGGAAACTTTAAAGATACCTTCCAGCTCTGCTACTCTCATATTTTATTGGAATAGGATTGACAAACAAGATGAACTTGACTGTTTTCACACTGTTTCCCTTTTCTGCTTTCATGCCTCTGATGGCTGTGTTTTGTATTGTGACAGCCTAAAATTAAAACAGGAACTGTAACCCAAATATCTCAGTTTTGCTGGTATGGTTTGATGAAACCAGAAAATTATCATGTTTTATGTGCAGGCTTATTAAAGGATGAATGGGGAATCAGAGGTTTGTAATGTTATACAATAGTTTTGTTGTACCAGGTGTACATATATGTGATTGTCAATACCACTACTGCAACCATTTTGTAATTTATCCAAGGTGTCACCACCCAAAAATATTAAGGAACCTAGTTCACAGTAATATCAAATTGGGCCACCAGTAGAATATTTGGTAGCCATGATATTCTGTGTATCTCCGGATTTCTTAAGTAACTTGCTTGGCAACAAGGAACCAAAGCGTAACATTTATATTTGTTGAGATCTGCATAAAGTTATTTCATTGTTCAAACAAAAGAGAAGGAGGAAATGGATGGATGGATGGATGGAATTAAACTATATTACACTAAATTAATATTACAGTGTAAAATCATCATTAAGTTTTTGTATGAAACAGATAATTAAACAAGAGGTGGAAATCTTGAAAAAATATAGACATGAATGACTAAAAAACAACAATCATCCTGTATTACACAAAACTACTTTGCTTCTTCCCGTTCATCTATGTGTGTTCTAAGGGGAAGGGAGAAATTAAAGCATGGTATGCTTTTCTCTCCATTTGGATTTAGACTTGTGCACCAAAGGGCTTAATACTGAGATTGGTTGGTTTAAGGATTAGAAGCCCAACTGAAAACTGTGGAAAGTCAGGTCTCCTGTTGCCTACCCCAGCTTAAGAAAATCAGCCAATGTGCCTAATATATAACTGATTTTGTTATATTCTGTAAAGACATTGCGTGCCATTATACCAACACATTTTTATTTAATTAAAATATTTCAACAAAATTATTAAATTATTTCAACAAAATTATTAAATTATTTTAACAAAATTATTAAATTATTTCAATAAAATTATTAAATTAATAATAAAATAAAAGATATGTTATTAATATCTTTTGTAATTCTTTTTATTATTATTTTTAAAACAATCAGTCATGTATATTGCAAACTGTACTTCCTTTTTCTTTATTCTTCCCTGCAGCTAATACAGACCATTAGTGCTGTTGATAAAGATGATCCCCTTGGAGGACAAAAGTTTTTTTTCAGCTTAGCTGCTGTTAATCCAAATTTCACCGTCCAAGACAATGAAGGTATAATGCATACACAATGGGGATGATTAATTCTCATACACATTTCTACAGTGTTTCCTTTTATTGTACTTAGCAGATAAATGTTCTCTGATTTAGGGAATTGGAATAGATTTTTTTTAAAAGAAGAAATCATTGATGAAATAAAAAAAGAACATATGATAAAATACAATACAGTCTTCATAATATAATCAGAAAATAATATACAACATGGAAATTAAATGAGTAAAGGTATTAAGATAGAATATCTTCGACATATTATTAAATCTAGTTTAGTGACCAATTTGTTGTACATCTTCTCAGTTTGGTACAATATGTTATTTCAATACAGCAATATTTAGATAATAAATTCTTAATATGTTATCATTTAGGTCCTTGATTGGATATAGCCAAGAGAAAAAAAGTGGATATTCTACCAATAGTAATTACAATTTTGTGTATTGATGTTAAAATGATATAATTATTTGGCTTTTTCTTCAAAATTAAATATAACTTTGGAAATGAAATGAATGTTTCTTTTGTAGAAACAAGCTACTTAGATTAATTAGAACTGTAGGGAAAAAAATAATAGAATATAACTGCTTTCCATGTAGACGGCCCCAAATTCAAAAGGTTTTACACAAATAAGTTCGACTTAATCAGTATATGACAATTGCTGGTTTTAAATATGTATTTCAGACCAGGATCTGGTATGGCTGTTACATTGCAAATTTTAAAGAAATTAGAGATCTAGCTTACCTGCAATCAGGGATGGGATTCTACCAGTCCACACCTATTCACTAGAAATGGTTGTTAACATTCTTAGCAGTTCGGAGAACCGGTTGTTAGAAGAAATTACTGGCCTAATCCTGTAAGGAAGGCAGGAAGGAAACATTCTAGTGTTGCTTACAGAAACTTCCTCTCCTTAACCTTTATTACATTCTTGGCAGGACTAGACTTCCTGTTTCAGGAACTTCTCTAGAGCTTTTTTCCCCCTCCTTTGTGGTACTTTGCTTGTGTGGAGTGACCATTCAAAGTTACAATGGCACTGAAAAAAGTGACTTATGACCATTTTTCACACTTACGACTGTTGCAGCATCCCTATAGTCATGAGAGGCCAGGCAAGGTGATGCATGCCTCGATGTGAGTGATATTGAGTTGGCCACACCCAGCCAATAACATGACCATCAAGCCATGTCCACCCAGTCACATGACCACCAAAGCACGCCCACCAACTAAGCCACGCCCACAGACCCGGTTGTTAAAAAATTTGAATCCCTCCACTGCCTGCAATGGTCCAGGAAATTGCACTATACTATAGACTCTGAGAGTTCAATTAAAGAGGCATTTTGCTTTCTAGTGTGCTGCCTTCTACCACATTACCTTATAACTTAATTCTCAAACAAAAGTTGCAAATTTATCACTGAGAAGCCAAGTATATACATTCAGGGAAAAGGGGGGGAAAGAGCACCTTTGAAGGGGAGAGGTAGCATTATTATTTAGTGCCATATTAAGAAAACAATAGCATCCAGAATAGCTTTTGCATAGTTATAGAAAGGAGCTAATATCCCCGCAGAAGATTTAGTCATACAAAAAGTACCGGAATGCGCCAAAATGAATAAGCTCACATTGGAAATGAAAGGCAAGGAGGATTCCTAATATTATGCAATATGGGATAAATGGTATGAGTGGTTAAAAACAGATACAAAGATTAAAAAGAAGGATTAAGGTAAATAAAGCAAGAGACCTTAATAGATTATCAATATATATATATGTATATAATAATGTATATAGGATATATGTATTTGTCAATGCCAAAATTTTCTTACGAATATGAGTGAGATTTGTATTTTTGAAAAACATAATAAAAACAATTTTTAAAAAAGAAAAAATAAATAAATTTGCTGCTAACATTGATTTCAATGTGTGAAAAATGGCAGTGAAGCTGTGTAAGTGTAGCTGTGAATCAAAAGGTACCCTGTATAAATTGCTTCCTAGGATCAAACTCTCTATAGTATATGGATTGCATTCCTTGGTGGGATTAATTGTAATGTATGTCTTGTATGTGACTTCCTGCTTCAGATAACACAGCCCGGATTTTGACAAGAAGGAATGGCTTTAGCCGACATGAAAAAAGCACATACCTCCTTCCGGTGGTGATATCAGATAATGACTACCCTATCCAGAGTAGCACAGGCACACTCACAATCCGGGTGTGTGCTTGTGACAGTCAGGGAAACATGCAGTCCTGCAATGCTGAAGCTTTGCTCCTCCCAGCGGGCCTTAGTACAGGCGCACTCATTGCCATTCTGCTCTGTATCATCATACTCTTGGGTAAGTTTTGAGGGAATAGTCACATGCTAAATGCAATACTACCAAATGCTAGATACTACCAAGCTGCATTGGGTGCAACCCTTGCAAAGATAGCATTTTTGACCCTCCTTGCAACCAGTCAGAAATTAAGCCCTTTGTAGCTTCTATAATTTGAGAGTCAACCTTGGATTATAAAGCAGTTGGATAACAAGTCATACAGAGGCAGACCATGTAAGCCCAGTTCAATTTGTAAAATACTGCATTGAAACCCATTACAAACCACAGAGAAAGCATGAACTATTGCTACCAGGTATGCCCCAAATGGGAAGATATTAGATTTGAAGACAGAGCATTCAAAATGTTTCCTTGGAACAATATTGAGTTGGCTGCATTGTTATGGAACATAACAAAATTATGAACAGCTTGAGTGTTTTGCCTTTCATTAAAACAAAACTTGAAACATTTACAATGTTCTTTCCATGGGAAATATTGTAAAAATTGGTATGAGCCCTTTGATGTGTTCCCTTTTACAGCCTACCAAAAGTAACTGGCATAGCCATATATAATGGCTGCCATTTGTCATCAAAATTGCAGGAAAGATTAAAGAAAACTCTTGAATAACAGGTCAAACTAATCCCCTTTTAATCAACACCAGAGGAGCAGGAGACTACAAGACCTCCAAGGTCACTTCCAACTCTGTTATTCTGATTGGAAGTTTAGAATATGCACAGTCCCAAATACTTTGGAGATTACCATCTCATGTCAGAATGTAGGGCGGTCTACCAGCAGATACTACTGCAGGTAGCATGTCCACCTAGCCTTCCCTTCTGGATGGCCCCTAACTTCCTCTCCTCTGAATGTTATTCCTTCTGCCCATTACAGCAGTGCACTTAATGTCACAGTTGCCTTGTGTTCCAGTGAGCTGTATTCAGCATATAAGGTAGCATCTACCTATAACTTGATTCGCCCATTCCTCTTAGTGCACAATGACAAAAAAGTAAAATATGTAAACTCCACCTTTATGTATCCAAATATCTTAAATGAAGTGGATGTATGGGTTGGTACCTGATGGTCACAGATATAGCAATATTTCTTCCAGAATGACAGAAATATAGTACCATCTAGCTGCTGAAAGTAGCCAAAATTGCCCTAATCCTAACTAGCTAATAGTATCACAGCCTTGAAATTGAAGACTTGCTTGTTCAAAGCCATAATTTTCATAACAGTTAGTGTGAATGTGATTGCTTTGATGTAACCTACTGTTTATTTCTTCATGGCTGTTTCATTGTAATGGCATCTTGCTCTGTTTAAGACCAGGAACCTTATCTCTAGGCTACAGACTGTTGCCACAGTGGAAAAGATACTTGTTTGGATGCCTAATAAAATCTTTAAGCATCCTAGAGACCAAAAGATGTTTACTGCATTCATCCAGCTGGACCATATTTTTTCTAACAAATAACAGGAAGCATAGCATGGGTTTTCAAGATTAAGCTTGTGGTATATTTATCACCAATACATATTAAACCTAATTAAAGAAATTGTGTCTCCCAAATGATAGACTGGTCTGATTTGCAGGGATCAAGCAGGGAACGTCCTTTGAAACGCATACCCAGAAAAAAAAGTCCAGGTTAAAATCAAAGACATGACCACTCTTTTCTCTGACACTCTTTTTTTAAAACAGTGTAAAGCTGGACAGAAGAAATAACACAGCTTAACTGCTATGAGAATGTGGGAAATAGAGTATTTCAAAAGCAGACAGTCATATATCCACCAGTTTTAGGACAAGCAGCAGTAGTAGCAATCCAGAGAGTCACAGAATCCAGTAATAAGTGCTTTGTTGCAATCCAGATCTTCCTCTCCAGGTGTCCCACTGGCAACAAACAGATCCAGACTAGTTCTCAATATGCCATCTGTTGCCTATATGCCTACTGCATTATTCCAACATTCAGTTCCAGATTATCCAACCTGGGCTAAAACAAACATTTATACTAGCCCAAGTAGAAAACTCAAAAGACGATGTTCCCTTTTGCTAGAAAGATAGTCTTAACAGTCTTCTTTCATACTTTGAATAAAACACTCAAAACAAAATTGTGAAAATTGCTAAAATAGAGAACACTCAAGTCATTTTGCGCATCCCTAGTTATATTATCACAGTAATTCAAAGTGTGTATATTTCTATCACCACTGTGGCCTTGGAATTTCAGTCGAAACATATACATATATACATATAAATATACATATATGTCTGTCTATCTGTCTGTCTGTCTGTCTGTCTGTCTGTCTGTCTGTCTGTCTGTCTATCATTAAAAATCCATTAGATGTATATTGATTATATTGACTGCAAATACATAGTTTTCTTAGTAATTCTTTCCTCAAAAGAAACAGCTTTTTCTTCACCCTTCAAATCTGAATGAAATTGTATAGGAAAACATTGTATAGGAAATTGTATAGGAAATCTGATCAAAAGCTTGACACCATTTGTTTTGTAAAACAAGAAAGCATTAGTACTGTGTTCTATTGTACTTTATTTTAAAATAAGAATTTTTGGGTGGCTTCTTTTAATATCCCCATAAAGTGCCTGCAGTAGTATAGGATAGAAACAAATAATACAGGGCTTGATAAGTATACAAAAGGGAGGGAGAAAACTGCAGCTCTTAATGAAATGTTTGTCCCTTTTTTTCACTATGGTATATTTATAGTAACTTAAAAACAAGAAAAAAATGGGAAGGGGTATTCAGTTTTCAATTTGTACATAATTGATTTCTTTTATGGTTTTTTTTTCAAAAACAAGATTCATTTAGCTAATGGTTGATAGATTAATCAGCAGCTGCTTGACCATGAATCTGTCATTACATGTTCAGGTGCAAGAATATATAATTATTGCTTGAAACAAGGATAGAAGTTGACAATTAACTTCCTATTCTTTTTCTGTGTTTCTATGGCAGCCTCCTCAATCTAAAGCCCTCTAGTTATATTGGAATTACAACTCCCCAAATTATCAACAAAACACTAAAGCAAAGCAGAAATGTTGGTCTGCTTCAGCGGAGATTTTTACATTTCTTCCTCGGTTCATTCCACAAGTCAAGAATCTGAATAATTAGATGTATCCAAAAAGAATATAGCAAAAAAGTCTTATATTAAATCTTTTCAGATAGAGAGACCATAGGCAAACAGGCTACAATTGATGTCATGTACAAAGTTAATAAAATAACAATGCACCTAATAACCAAATTGTAAAGAAGTGAAGGTTCAGTGGCTTAATGATGCTAGAGATGGTCTCTGTTTCAGCAGTTTGAGTTTTAGCACTGTGGAACAGGGTGAGCACCATCACTTGCCTCAGCTTCTGCCCACCTAGTAGTTTGAAAGCATGTTCTATGCAAGTAAATATAGCTACCACTTCGGTCAGGTGCTTTGTGCAGGCAGTCAGATTCCTGCCCAGCTTTGAATCTTTCTAGTTACAACACCTCTTTGCAAGCAGGGGAGGTAGGGGATCCTTGGATGCTGCTGCAGAATAGCTGCTCATGTTTCTTCTGGTTCTTCTTTCTCTTATGGTGCACTATGAGAAGCGCACAAGCATGTTTCTGATAGAGCTGGTAAACAGACAGCCAAACTACTACTCTACAATTGCATTGTAGTCTCCTGGCGAATGTAACAATACCAAATGATGATGATGATGATGATGATGATGATGATGATGATAAACTAAGTTGTATACTTGTGTCTATAACGAAATGTGATTTTTAGTTAATTCATGTTTTTCTTTCTTCCAAGTTATAGTGGTGTTGTTTGCTGCTCTAAAGAGGCAGCGCAAGAAAGAGCCTCTGATCCTTTCTAAAGAAGACATCAGAGATAATATTGTGAGTTATAATGATGAAGGGGGTGGAGAGGAAGATACCCAGGCTTTTGATATAGGCACTTTGAGAAATCCTGCAGCTATTGAAGATAAGAAACTCCGTCGAGATATTATCCCAGAAACATTATTTATACCACGGAGGACTCCTTCTGCTCCAGATGACACAGATGTCCGTGATTTCATTAACCAAAGGTTGAAGGAGCATGATCATGACCCCTCTGCTCCACCTTATGACTCCCTAGCAACTTATGCCTATGAAGGAAATGATTCTATAGCTGAATCCTTGAGTTCTTTAGAGTCTGGCACCACTGAGGGAGACCAAAACTATGATTACCTCAAGGAATGGGGGCCTCGATTTAATAAGCTTGCTGAGATGTATGGTGGAGGCGAAAGTGATAAAGACACTTCCTAACCTACGGTAGGATATATAGTTCAATTGAGAGGAAGTAACTTTACAGATACCTTTTCCACGTGACAATATTTGATGTTCAGGAGCATTCTCCTACCACTCAGCACAATGTTTCTTTTTCTTCTTCTTTTTTCTTCATTTTTGGTTTTTGAATTGCTCATTAATGTCCTTTATTCTTTTTTGTGAAATGTCACATGGAATATAGTCAGCATTTTATTTCACCCCATTCTGAAAGCCAAAGCAATTGAAATTTGGTGTCATCCATTTTATTAAATAAAGGGATGCACTGTTTGAGCAGGTATATAATCTCTCAAACAGTCATATGAGAGTTGCTTCTGTTAAGTCCATGTTCCTCACTTGCAAGGATGACTTTGAAAAAGACCCAGACTGTGATCTACAAAAAGATCATGCATGCACATTCCACATGCATACCCACATTTTGCTTGGAAATGTGTTTCTTTTTCAGAAACTATGCACAGAAGACCCCCATAAACCGTATTAAGCATTTTCATTCAGAGAGCATGCTCTCTCCCAAAACTACACACATAATGAACAAACTAGACTTTTGTTTTTGTTTTTTGGGAGAAAAAAGCTCCTCTGGAAAATAATTTAGTGTTGTATACCCTGAAAGTTTTTTATAGATACGTTCAGATTTCATTGTTTAAGAACAACAGTTATAATCGGGGGTTTTCTGCTTGTGCAGCTTCCGAAAAATGAACTGGGAAAAAATATTGAAATGGTATGCACAGTGTCTGCGCATTTCCTTTTGGATCATAACCCAAAAGAAGTAGGAAGAAAACAGTTGCCCCTATTCTGTACATTAAAAAAAATTGACCCCTGAAAATGTACACGTGGTGTTAATGTGATATGCAGCTGGTTTAAAAAGAAAAATTTTGTGCAACTTCATTTCATCAGATTCTATCTGCCAATGTTTTATATTTATATTTTTGTATTTATTTTTAAGAAATAAACCAGTTTTATAACGATTCTGTTCCCTGATTATTCTGTAAAAGGAAATAACATACTACAAGGTTAAGTAAAGCTCACTGAACACATTATGTGGGACTGTTGGACATTTTAAAGGTTTCAAACAATGATTGTTATGAATGCACTTAAGATTTTATTAACAGTGCAACCCTACTTGACAAACTTATAACAGAGTTGGAAGGGACATTTGGGGGGCGGGGGTTCTAAGTCCAACCTTCTCCTCAAGCAGGAAATCCTCCACCATTTCAGCCAAATGGTTGCCCACTCTGCTCTTAAAAATCTCCAGTGCTGGAGGCAAGTGATTAATTGTTCTAACTTGTAAGGAAATTTCTCCTTAGTTCTAGGCTGATTGTCTCCTTGATTAATCTACAGACATGGCTCTGGCACATTTTCCTGTGCAGTTAGTCATGAAATGCAATAGAACATATTTACTTTGGATATTCATATAAGATTATCCTAAAATTATTGGTCAGACTTTGAGTTATACTGCTTACAGGCATATCTGGTGTGTGCATATGCAGCCATTAGCCTATATGCAACATGAGCTAAGCTATAGACCTTGATTAAAATACAGCACACAGCAGGAGGTAAAATGACATGTTGGGCATGCTTTTTAACTGAGTTTTCTGGTGTTAGCTTGCCATGGAAACACAGCAAATATTCTGGTGTTCAAAAAGAGAGCCTTTTTGCAGCAAAAAGACCTAGGACACTGTGAAGACCAGTACACTTATTTTGACACAAACTTTCATAGTTTATAGTCCGCTTCATTAAATTCGTGGAATTTTTTAAATGAAGATGTCAGAGAGAAATGAAATGTTGAAGCATTGTTCTTTCCCTGTTTAAGAGATAAGAGTGCTTCCTCCTCCCATGGCTTTTCATTGAACTGATTTTAAACCAAACTTGCAAATGCTGGAAGAGAAACATTTCCCCAACCCTTTTCATAAAATGGGCTATTCTAATTTTCTCCTCCTGTAACATTATCCTTCCCTATTCTGGGAAGTCTTTATATTAGCTAAACTTTGCATTACGGCTATCAAGATGCTTGGTAGTAGAATGTGTCTTTACATGGCTTTGTGAGTGCAACTGAGAAATAAAATCCCTCCCATGCTACTCCGTTCTTGCTTATATATGGTGCCCTTTACAGACCTTAAGAAAATAATTCAAACCAAGCCATCCTATGAAGGGAGTTTCCTGTCTTCTTGCTATTTCTGAAGAGAATTGATCCAGAGAAATTTCCTTGATTTTATGTGCTTATTCTGGGACAAAATAGGAAAAGTTGTGATGGCCAAGGACTTCACTTAATCCTACGAAGGTGAAGACTGGGAGTCAAAGAGAGAATCACTACATATAAATTCATGCAGATAAGACGGTTTTGAGGAGTGGAGGTTGAGAGTTATTTTAACTGTGATGGGTGTATTTTAATGTTTCACACTAGTGTTTTCATGTATTCTTCACTTCAACGTGGCAAGAGAATCTGTCTACTAACAGCAAGCATGGTACAGAGGGGGCTTCAGGGATGAGAAAAAGAAAACTCAAACACCACATTGAGTTCTGCTTCACAATTTAAAGTCAGTGCATCCTCTCCCAAAAATCTCTAGTGTGACATTTTAATAAAGCAGGGCTGTGGGTTATACAATGGTAGCAATTTGTTCAAATACAGCATTAGTTCAATGCTCCTAGCTGAAAATGAGATCATCAGGGAAAAGTAGGACAAGACAAGAGGGAGTGGGTGCATTCGTTTTCTAGTTTTGATATATGAATACCTGAATGGGGTCTACAATATCTTCTGCTATATTTGTATAGGGTTTCTTGGTTTTGTTTTGTTTTCCCCAGAAGAATACCATAAACCTGTTCAGCACAGGTTTCTCCCTTCAACACCTATCCAGTGCAAAGTAGTCAACCAAAAATTTTGGAGGCAACTATGTTACCTGGCCTTGGAAAAACTAAAGAGACATTTGATTAAACTCAACTCTTGGCAACTCCATCACTGTCTGTAGTTTTCTTGGTTGTATTCAAGAAAATAGTTTGCCATTGTGGATAGATCAGTGTGGCTTGAGAGAAACATAGGAGTTTTAGAGAGACCATCAATACATTAGATGCCATGTGCAACATGAGACTATTTCCTATCTCTTAAGGAGAGAATTGTCATCTGAGAAATTGTTGTGATTGGATAAGGCACAATAACATAAGAGGTTAAGAATCAGGTGATTATCTGGCTTGTAAATTAAGCTGTGGACTTCTGATTAGTTAACCAATATGAACTGTGTGAATTTGGCCAAAGGATCTTTTTCTGACTCTCCCAAGTACATTAAGTAATTCCATCTAAGAATATTTAACAAAACTAAATATATAGTTTTAAGACTTAGAGATAGAAGGTTTGCCAACCCTTGTGTCAACAGTCTTGTAATAAAGCTTGACCATTTACTTTGGAAGTGGGAAAAATGTTTATGCCTTTGTGTACAGCAAGCCTCTGTTAGCAAAATAACTTTCTGAAGAGACAAAATTAAACAGTTTAAACAATTTGTTTTACTTTAAACAAATATTTTTGTTAGGCTATAGCCCAGAGTATTTTTCTGAGCACAAATATCTTCAGTAATTGCTTTAATCCATCCTGGTTGAATCAAAGTCAAAATAAGACATGCTCACTATTTACTTAGGGTCTCAAAGCCTTTCTGTCCTGAGTTAAAAGTCAAAGTTATAATCCAGTGTCCATGTTTTATTTTCGTAACATAAATGGATTTTGAACAATTGCACCAACTTGCTTCAGTACAAACCCTATGTGAAAAGTTTAGAACAGGATCAAACTTTGGATTTCATCAAGCTGCTTTACATTTCATCATCATCTCCCATCAACCACAGCCAGGATAGGATCACTGGGAGAGATTATGAGAATTCAAAAGATCTGGAGGCACCATGTTGCCTGATTGGTTAAAACAAATATCATCTAAAGCAGGGGTGTCAAACTCACATTGTCACAGCAGTATCATGTGATATACCAGGACTTTTTTTCCCCTTCAGTAAATGAGGCATGGGCATGGACAGCATGAGATGCATGTTGCCCATGAGCTGGAAGTTTGACAGCCCTGACCTAAAAATATTTGCTTGTAGCTCGAAGTGTGCTATTTTGCTCTATGTATCCAAAAAGTGTTTCATCTTTTTTTATCAGTTCTTTAATATTGTCAGCACCTAACTTTATTTCTTTGCTTCAAAGTGGGTAAGTATTGACTTTTACAGAATAGTTCAATGCCCTCTTTTTTGTGGCAGTCCCTCAAATATTGGAACAGTGCTATTAAGTCACTCCGTAGTCCTTCTTTTAATTAAACTAGACATAACCAATCCCTGCAACTGTTCTTTATAAGTTTTAGCCTCCAATCCCCTAACCATCTTTGTTGCTCTTCTCTGTACTCTTTCTAGAGTTTAAACATATTTTGTACATCATGACAACCAAAACTGGATGCAGTATTCCAAGTGTGGTCTTACCAAGGCATCATATAGTAATACTAACTCTTCATGTGATCTTGATTCTATCCCTATGCTATAGGACCAAAACATCTTCTGAAATATGGTTACTAGATACATAGCAATATCTAAAGACATATACAATTTATATAACCAAGGGGAATCAAATAATTGCAGATAGAGAACAACAATTAATAGTTTCTAATTAATTTAATGATAAAAATTGGCATTATCAAAGTACAAAAGAAATTTGCAATAAAAAAAGTCAAAAGCAAAATAGTGTTAGCTGGGGGTTAATTTTGGTGGTGTTTAACTTGTTATCTGGGATCCCCAATAATCCTGGAAGTCAAATTAATATGAGAAGGAATATGAGAATATGAAAGGAAACTAGGAAGGGTTTGAAAGGAGTGAGGAAAGTGTACAAAAAGTGGCATTGAAAAAGAAAGACATGGGCTAAAAGCAGCAATAAGAGCAGGTACATATGTGAAAAGGATTGTGGTGCCCTTCATATCATCTTGCAGGTTTTTTTAAATATCCCTGGACAAGTCTATGTCAATGAAGACTCAATCAAGTGTCTTAAGATTGAACCATGGCAATTGGACCAAACTTTGCTCATCCAAGCAACTTCATCATTTAGAGCAAAATTTAGTCAGACAGAGTCAAAGAGCTGTTGGAATGTACCAGTTCTTGCCAAAACAACTCCAGGAAGGAGTAAAATTACAGAAAAGGAAAGGAACAAATAAGAGAATGATAACGAAAGAAATAAAAAAGATATTTAAAAA